CAGCCTTTCTTGATTTCTTTGTTTCCCTTCTATTTTCTCTCTCTCTCTCTCTCTCTCTCTCTCTCTCTCTCTCTCTCTCTCTCTTCAATGGCTCTCCAGAGCAGCAAGTATTCTGTGCCAGGTGTTAGCCTCCTCCTTCGAAGCCCTTTGCGACAGCATATACCGAGGCCCAGTGAAGACTGAAGACCTCTATCTTCCTAGGCAGCATTCTGCTGCCATGTTCTTTGTCTCACTTCCAAGCAATGAAAACATTCATTTATTCAACAACTTCAGATAGACATATTAATGATATTATACCAGACAAAGTGCGAGGGCCCTGATCACAAACAGAATAATAATGATGTAATAATAATAATAATGATTTATAGTGACTTTTAATTTAACCAAAGACTTTTGCTTATATTCAGTAGCACAGGATCAAACATGAAGATAATGAATAAATAGAAATATTTTTGCCCCTGAGATCTAGATGTATTTGCCCTGTACTGCAGCCTGAGTCCAGTGTGGGAATTTAAAATATTGTCAATGGTTAAATGAATTTTGATGATTTAAGTATCCTAACAATCCCATGGATTGGATATGGGAAGTGGCATGGCTCATAATCACTCAGTTTTCTCCCCCTTAAGTTCTTAGAGCTAATTGCTATGTTGTAATTCTTATTAATTCAGTGACTAAGATTTCACATTGAAAAGAGAAATAGTCCAAGAAATGGTGTCCAGTACTACTTTCCTTAACAATTTCTTTGATTTTTTAAAAAAACTAAAATCCTCATAGAGTTAATGACTGTTTTCCCTGCTCCAGTTATTCAAATGATGTATCTATATATCCTGCACAGAAAACTAATCAATATAAAACACAGGAAAGTCAACACATTTTTGTTTTCATATTTCTTCAATATTTTAAACATTAGGATGAAGTTCACTTAAAAATGAGATCATGCTGAACATAAATTTTTCATTATTATTTAGAAGAAACTTCTTTCTCAGAGCTTAGTTGAACATTGACCTATCTTATTTGACACCTGAGCAGCTGCATTAGAGAATTCCTTGATTTACTGAATAGATTTTTGATTAATAAAATTCATTTACTATTTAACATTTAAAAATTCCTTCACAGTCTCTAAAGTTTAGATTTCAAAATTCAGCATGAGCCTATGACATTTTGGAAAAAAAGATTTTTTTGTATTAATGAGTGAATCCTGTTGGGCCATTAACTCTACAGACAAAATGTGTACATCTTCTGTGGCTGATTTTTATATAGGAAAGTGATAGAATTAAGAAATGCTGATTCTTACAATGACCCAGGATACATTTATATCCTATTTTTAAAAAAAACCTAACCAAAACTGTAAAGTTGACATTACTATTTTTATTTATATCTGAGAAAATTAAAGTTTGTAGAGATTAAATAACTTCTCAAGGTCACTTAAGTAGAAATGAAGGAGCCAGAGTTGCTTTCTTAGTCTACTAATTTCTAAGTATAGTGTATACTTAAAACCTGAAGGCCAAGATTCTAGCCTCATTAATGAGGTATTTAATTTTTGCAATTATAGCTTTCTCATTTTTCAAGTCTCTCCATAAGATGTGAAAATTTATAAACAGTATATTATCTACTTATATGAAAAAGGTCTATGAGAAAAAAAATGAGATAATTTGTGTTAAACTGATATTTCAAAGCATAGAGTTACCTTTGTCCTCCACACAAAGCCCATAACCCTATATAATTTTATCTGAAATCAACTGTAGTAGAGTTCATGAGGCTGATGGCTGGAAAGATGCTACATTTCACAGAATGATTTTTTCAAGTTACTATAAATTTGAGGAAGAACCTGGGAGCACCAAATGTTTTGATTTCCATTTCTTGTGCTGCATCTCTGGCGCAAATGACTTCCCTAAAGATCTATCAATAACAACATGTTGATAATGAGTAGCTTAAAATAGAGCAATTACAGTATATATAACCACATTAGGAGGGATATGTAAATGTAATTTTAATGATTTTTTTTTGTAGTGACATTTTATGTTGAGCATTGGTAAAGAGTAGCATCCTAGCTTATGTCTTAAAACTGTCTTTAAATCAGAACCTCCTTTCCAGCAAAGCGGAATATGCCATCCTGATTCTTTTGTTTTAAAGCCAGAAATTATCATATGATTGAGATTCAGTGCTTTTTGACCCTGAAGTTTGTGTGCCTTATTTTTTCTGACCATTCCAATAGTTAACAGTTTATATTTTACCTGTCTTACAGCATCATTGTCATTTTAAGGTATCTGAAATATCCTTTAACATCTATTCAGTCGATCAGAAATGAATGTTGTATCCTTTTGAACAGCCCCTTACAAAAGCAATAAAATGCAAATGTTTATTTAGTCAGTAAGCTTAAATATACATATTAATAAATGTCTAAACTATGTTTCTTTTTGTCATTTTTTCTTTTTCTCTTTCATTTTGATTTCTATGATTTCTGTAGCTTACAATGTGAGAATTCATCACATATTCTTTCTTTTCTTGATGTGAGGATAAGTCAAATCTGAAATCTTTGTGCCAGATAAATGTTAACTAATTATTAGAGTTAGCAGGTAAAATACATAACCAGCAAATTTTGAATTTTAGATAAATAAATTATTTATAGTATAAGTATACTTCCTTCAAATATCACATACTTATAAAAAAAAGATTTACTGTTTACCTGAAATTCAAAATTAATTTGGTAATTTATAAATTTAATGGCTAAGCCTAGTCTATTTCCCAATTCATGGAATATGTGTGTGTGTGTGTGTGTGTGTGTGTGTGTGTCTGTGTATATATAAAAAAAATTTATTTTACTTTTGATCTTTATTTTATGAGCTTATGTGCCTGGCTCAGATGGTTTTATACTCCACCGATTTCCTTGTAAGATTATCATTGTCAATTATTAATTTTTGCCCCTTTGGCTCATTCTGGGACAAAAAAGGAGAGACTAAGATTAATTTTCTCATCTGAAGGCCTGCACGTAGTCAGTTATTTATGTTACTTTATTCAATTTTCAACTTAGCTCCTTAGGTGGTATGATTATAAATTTATTTCCTCAAGAATCATTTTTAAAAATCATCTGTAATTTTCTATATCAATGCTTAGATTTGAGACCTCTATCAGTTTTTAATCCTCTTTAGAAAATTAAACTTTTGATAGCATTCTACTTCAGTGATATATTCTGTGCTAAATTATTGTGTGTCATTCTGTGTTTGAAAATAAACATTACTACTGTTCTTTAATTACATTTCTGTTATCCTATTTGAGAAGTTTTCAAAATCATAGAATAGTAGAAATTTATATTTTGACTTTGCACATGGATAATACCCTTTTTGGAAGTTATATCTTATTTTTAAATGCCAAAGCAGTCTCTCCATAAGATATGAAAATTTATACCTTGGAACATTGTTTCTAATGCCACCCCCACTACAATCACAAAATTCGAATTTTATCTAAAACTGTTACTTTACTTTTAAAGAACTATCTCTAAGAATTTATCGCTCACAGAAATAAAGATCTTACAAAATATCGAAAGAGTAAGCCCCTTAAAGCAATAATTTTCTAATAGTTTTCCCATATAATAGTATATGCCCTACAAAGCCTCTTTTGAAAAAAAAATACCAACAACTACTGAAACCCAGTACGAGGTGAACAAATGCCAATAGCTTTTGGCTTATAAACTGAAATCTGTAATATTAGGAATTTACTGCAACAGAACCTTATAAATTTACCCTTAGAACCATAATATACATTAAACCATGTTACGGTCTGGGAAAAAAAAAACAAAAAACAAAAAACAACCTCTTCTGCTGTGATTTAAGATCAATATCTGTATTGTTGTTTTATGTAGCGGTGTCATCTGGCAACTTTAGTATATTTCACCATATTCCTTATATAACAATTTACTTTCAAGAAATTTAAATATTAACTCTAATTTCCTGGTGGCAATTTCTAAATTCCCTATTGAATCAATCTACTTATATTGTTTCACAAAAAGCAGAAGCAGGTTCATTTTCTAGGTTTAAATTTTGTATTTTTAAATTGCACTGTATTATTATGCTAGTGCTGAGGCCATTGATGGAGCAGGCATGACATTCTTACACCAAGATATATGAAGATGATTAAACCACAATAAAATAAAGTTTATTTAAAAAAAAATGTTCTAAAACATTTATGTGAAATTACAAAAGAAATAAGAGGTTTTGTCTTCATCTTATTCTAAAAAATGTTTCACATTTGATTTTTGAAAAGAAACATCATTCTATTTTGTTCAGTTAAATTATGGAAAAGCTCTGAAAACCTGGAAAGTCAAATGGAGTCACTAATGGAAAGCTTAAAGTATCATTCAGTTGCCTGAGGAAAGTGTTAGAGTGAATGAGCTCTTCAGGTAACTATGACCCCATATGAAGTCAACTCTAATAAAATGAATTCAAGTAGTTTATGGTTTTAGATACAACCTAACTCTAGTAAGGTCAAAGTAAGGTGACTGGTTCTCTGCCATTCAGTGATCACTTTCACCAAAGGTCGGAGCTGTATCTGACAAGTGCTAAATGCCTAATAAGACATATGCCTTTAAATATTTAATAATAAATATATTCGAGCTCACTCCACATTTTCATTTATGCTCTGTTGTTTGGAGAAGGACAGAACTGAGTATCATGACCTATCTTTCCCTCAAATTCACTTACCTGGGAAATAAAAGAGGGGAAGGTGATAAGTCTTTCTTCTTTAATCAGAGGGTAAAAATTCTAACTCAAGCTGAACTTTTATAAATAAGATCATCTTAAAAGTGGTCTGCATAGTGACATTTAGATTTATCCTCCTTGGCCTTTCACTACCTTGAAATGTTTTTCCAATTTTTCTCTTATTTTCTATACTTCTGTTTTCAGTTGTCCCATTTTTGGAAGAATATTTGATCTATAAAATAGAAATGAAAATTGATGCATCTGTCCACTTGCTTATACTGACTACCGGATTTGTGTTACCCCCAGGCACTGAAGGAGCAGTATTTGGGCACTCTGTTGAAACACCTCACATCAGAGCAGAACCTTCCCAAGACCTCAGGTAAGTCCTGTCTCTTATACCCATGTCATTGTTTCCATCACTGTTATAGCCTCTGACATATAAAGAATTAGAATAGAAAATGTGCTACATACCTGTATAAGGAATTGACATTTCTTACCTATGTAATAAATAGTCAAGTATTTGATGAAGGGCAAGAAAGTGTGAGTTATTATTCTAAAAATAAGCTTCTGTATATTTTTCCTTAATAAACATACAATGAATATAAAAATAAATATATCAGGAAGAAAGTGAAAAAAGAAAGGAAAGGGCAGTTACAGAAGAAGTTGAGAGGACTGATAAAATAAGGATTCCAGAAAATCTGTCATAGACAAATGTATATCATGCATGGGCATAAAGAAAGGGAGAGCAGAGATTAGGAGAAAGCTATTTATGGTCAAGTAATGTTATGTAGAAGGAATGTTATATGTCAATAAAAAAGATGTTTTAAATAATTAATTTCTGATAGGTAAATTATATTCTAAAGTGCGTTTGCAATGATATTAGAAAACAATATTTATATCAAAAAAATTAAATTAGATATTAAAATCATTTTTAAGGTTGAATCAAAGAGTAACCTGAGAGAGTCTTTCACTTGTAAAACACAATAAAAATATTAAACAAAAAAAAAAAATAACTTTATTTCATAAAGATCAGATTCAGCCCTACCCATTTAAATGAGTGGGAAAAAAATGCTCAAATGAAAATAGAAAATTAAAGTGAAAGTTCTTAACACCAAAAAAAAAAAAAAAAAGCCAAGGAGTAAAATTTGCACTTTTATAGTTCTAAGATAAAATTTCCTAAAGAACTCAGTTTCTTACTAGTTGAGTAATTCAGATTCAAACAAGCTAATTAACAGTAGCAGGGGAAGGTGGTCTTCTCTATGCGATCAAGCCATTTGTTTTAATAAGATAATAATTATTTACTCTAGGGCAAAACCAAAAGGATTTAGGAAGATTGATGAATATGTGTAAATAGTGTCTCATAATGTGTTATAATCTTGATTTATGATTCTTTTCTCAGTTAAGAATTTAACATTTTTGTGTAATTATTTATTTTCTCTCTCCAGCTAACAAGATCGTATGTTCCATTAGAATATAACCTGCATCTTCCCTGCTTATCTTTAGTGATGTTAACAGCCAGCACCATATCTCACAAATAATAGTGTCTGATAGACATTTGTTAATTTGAATTATTGAAACTTAGCAAAACTGAATAAGTAGCATGTAATATAAGGAACGTGGCATTTGTTATTGTAGTACCAAGACACATGCGACAATGATTCCAAAGTTTATCAAAGTTTAGAGCTTCATTCGATAATATTTTTTAAATTACTTAGTTCTAAAAGAAACATTGTTTACTTCTAACATTTTAGTAATTATGTACACATTTTACAGTTTTCTTTATGAAAATCTGTTGCCAAAAGAGGAATAAGAAACAAGTGCTATCTTAATTACCTTGCTGACAAAATTCATGTGTGAATGTGAATTAAGTTATAATTAGTTTATAGTGCTTCTAGTTTTTATTTTCTAATTATTCATCAATTATTTAAACAGTAAACTAAGCTAGGCTTATCTGCTGGTGCTAAAAGCAGATTGGCAGCCCCCCAATATTCCAAAACTGAAACAGAAACAATGCACAGTAATGATGGGGGTATTCAATTATTCATTTGTGTACTGAAGATTAAAAGCAGAGTGTCTGAGATTTTTAGAGGTCTTGCTGACAATTTTCCTTTCAGGGCAATATGAAGTACTCTTAGTTGGCAACCTAATTCTAATCAACAAGGTTGGATGAGTTGGCGAAGTAAATAAAATGGTAATTTGAGGCGTGAGTAGCCATTTTGCCTTTGATTTTGTTTTTGTCAAGAGTAAAAGGCTTTAGAAAGGAATATTTTGTAAAGTTTATTATAGAGAATAGGAATATTTTGGTGTGGAAATGTAGTAGATTTCTATAATTTATTTATTCGACAGATGTTTGATAAGTGTTTAATATGCACCAAGTTTTGTGCTAATTTTTATGTTTATTTTAAACCTACACACGTAGGTTTTTTTTTATTTCTTATAGAAGGTGATATGGTTTTTCAATAAGGACCTATATGCTAAAAGGCCAAAAAAAAAATGTATACTGAATGGTCAGTAAGGAGATAACGGCATAATTGCCTGGAATAGCCCAAGTATAAATGTTCTTTCTTTTTTATTTTTAAATTAACTTCTGGTAAGAAATGATGAAATCCATTATATAATACCCATTGCCCAAAGATTGTTTGGATTCAAGTTCCATTAACTATTCCAAGAATAAGACAAGAGCCTTGAGTTGGAATCAGTGAAAGGAGTTAATATTTGATGATATAATTGGAATCTTTGTATCATGTTCATTCTGATCTGAATATAATCTAAAACTGAAATGTTGAGGTTTTCAGGCTCCAAATTACCCTCTGGAAACGCATTGCTTTAATTTACAACACTCTTATGTTCGAGGAAAAACTCTCATTTATTAAGCAGTTAAGGATTTCTTTCTGAGAAATTTTGTCAAAAAAAAAGGGAGGGTAAAATACTTTGACGGTATTTTTCTACCTATGAGGAAAAAATAATAATAAAGTAGTATTTTTCTTTTATCCTCTCCTTCTCTTTCCTCTCCTCCCTTCCTCTCGCCTTCTCCCTTCTTCCCTTCCTCTCCTCTTTTTTCCTTTTACTCTTTAATTCTGTGTATGTTTTTATATATTTATTTAGAATTAGTAGCAAATGAGCCTTCTGAGAAGCTTGTGTTAGCTTGCAATCTTGGGAACACAAGAAGGTAATTGATCTAGAGATTTCCTTGATCTAATTTGAAGGAGACCATAATGGAATGTGCTAGTGAGCAAAAAAAAATGATATATATGGAGGAAACAAAACAATGTTGTTGGCATCTGAAGAAAGTTCACTGTAGCCTAAAGTGATAAGACAGTAAAATTTCTTATATGTTTAAGTCATAGTTTGCATTGATTTTTTTCCCTTAAAACACTTTCTGTTTAATTCTTCATTCATTCCATCACTGAAACTGAGAAATCATTAATGAGTGACTACTATTTCTCTGACATTGTGTTAAATATTTATCAATAACAAGGTACATGATGCTTAAGTTTCTGTTTAGTAATTGTATCTTTGTGACTTAGTTTAAAAGAAGTCTGAACTCTTAGAATGTTGAAATTTCTGCTAGAGACCTAGGTCACTCATCTGCAAATTTGAGAATTGCACAGCACCTTAAAAACAAAATCATGTTGCAACTTTGGTATATAAACATAATAAAAACAGAATTGCTTGGAGAAAACAGAGCAAGGTGACTTGAGTTCAACCTTAATCCTTCCCTCTGCTATAATCCCTGGGAACCCACTGTGAAAACTAGTCTGAAATTCACTGCTGTGATTGCTATAATGGTTTCAAAATGAATACTTTTTGTAGTTTTATACTTCGAATAAATAAAATGGGATATTATGTTCTAAATCTTCCTTCAGTTTTCTGTGGAATATTATAGTCAGTGATTTTTTAATTCGTTTTTATATTTTGAATAGTTAAAACTGGAAGTTATCCTTGGAGAGTGTGTTAAGGATCTAATGTTATTTTCTTCAGTATGACTAGTCAATTTATTAAGCATTATTTATTAAATAAGATAACATATCCACCCCCAAATGGTTGCTACATTTGTCGGATATTAAATTTCCATAAATTCCTTCCATCTGTTTTAGACTGTATTGTGTTCCATTGACCCAAATTCTATATCTAATTCCAATATAATTTGTAATTAAAATAAACTTTATATTAAGTTCTAATTTTAAAAGGAAGATCTCCCACTTTATTTTTTAATTCGTTTTTATATTGTTATTTTATATCCAATACTGTCACACATACTTTTCTCCCCAAAATATGTTGACATAATGTTTTAAATTTCAAGAGATTTTCTTGAGAATTTTGGGGGGGATTCAATAATAAATGTTTATTACTTTTTGAAATATTGTAAATTTCATGATGTAGAGATATATTTGAGTTTGTTTTTATCCAGGAATATCTCAAATTCTTGAATTTCCAAGTAAAACAAATATATCATAAATTCTTTCCAGATATCCCCCCCAATATAATTGTAAAATACAGACATTAAATAATATAGCATTTATATTAATATAATAATTTAGCCACAGGAATTATATATTTTAAAAGTATCCCTATATGTCATTAATCTTTATTTCACCTTAATACAGTTGATGACAGTCAAACATTAGCATCAATTAACAATTTTCCTATTCAGATTCCCCCAGCATGTTTTACAAATTTTACAGAAAAAGTAGATAATCTTATAAGATGTGAAACCACACCTTCTTTCCCAACATCTTATTATAAAAATTCTCAAAAATATTCAGTGTTGAAAGCATCTCTTAATGACCATCTATATACTCCCAGCTAGATTTTTCCATTATTATTTCCTATATTTTTCCTATAATAATGGAAAAATCACATATGTATACATCCTTAATCACATATGTATACATTCCATCACCCATTGACTTGTGTATCATATTTTTTATGCATTTGAACATAAATTGCATTAATCTGTATACTTTCTATGATTGCTTTAGCAAGTATACCATAAACTAGTAGTGTTCAAGATCATTTACACTTTCTTTTGTTGTAAAATAATTATGCAATAGCATTCACAAAGCTTAAGTGCACGTTTGTTGAGTTTTAAAAAATACACACATCTGTGTTAACCCAAATTTCTGTCATTACCCAAGAAAATTCCCTCATGCCCTCTCCTAGTAAATCCCCACCACTACCACGAGGAGCAACCTCAGCTCTCACTTTGTTCACCTGGGATTTGATTAGACTGATTTAGTACTAAATATGAATTAATCATACAGTATGTACCCTTCTTTAAAAGATCTCTTTCACTCTACATACTTTTGAGATCCATACATGATATTGTCTGTATCAATAGTTCTTTCTGCTTTGTTGCTAATTAGTATTCCATTATAT